ATATATATATATATATATATATCTTTCCCATAATTTTTTAATCAGAAATAAGTCACTTAAGTTCAAAGGATTATACCCTCAGGTAATACAAATTTTAGAAAAAGGTTAGATCTGAATACATCTGAAGGGTTCATGTAAGGTAATGGCATGCATGAATAGCATTAATTCTTGGAAGGAAAAGGAGGGATGAGTAAGAAAGAATCAGTCTTTTAAAGATTATAACAAAATACTGTCCTGCCATGCACATCCTTCTACTCTTTCCAGTTATGGTTACGTATTTAGAAATGCTTGCAGTGCATTTTCTTTGAAAGGCATCCAGTAATTGCTATAACTCTTTCAGAAGAGTTATAGTACTGTTTCCGATGTACAATTTTTCATTTCTCAGTTTTTAAAAGAAGCCTGAAAAACACGTGATTGGCTATGCTGTTCTGTAATTCTGGTACTAAATTATATTACTGTACATTCTTACAGGTTCGTATGTAGATTAGAAATACATAAATTCTCTGGAGATTACTATTAAAGACTAGTGTTAATTACATGTCAACACATCTATATCAACATTTATAGTTACAGTTTTATGCATGTAACATTTTCAAGCTCAGGGACATGGCATTTCAGTAGTGTGATGGGTGTTATTCCAAAAGGTAGGTGGGATTAATAAAAACAATTCAATTTAATTAAATTGAAATAAATACAGTTAATATGTTTATTAATCATATATTTAATATTTTTTACCTGTTACAGTAAAAATTACAATTCAAATTATGTACTGCTAGATTAAAAGGTTAAACAATGGTATGTTTATCTAATATGCCAATTCCTGCTATAGTTATAGAAATGCAGACGATTTCAGTCTGTAACACAAAAACAGGGAATCAAAGACCAGATTTGCAGCTTCAAAAGTCCCTTTTCCCATGAAGAGGTGTTCCATGCTTCCTTCTACATGGATAAAAAGAGTTAACTTTGTATGCACGAAAAGAAACAGTAGTTGCTCCCTTCCTTTGCAAGAAAGAAATGCAATTTTTCTGTACAGGAAGATGATACAGAGCAAAGGGCTGAACTCGTGGCAGGGCTGTAGAAGTGATTTCTGTGCATTGCATGGACCATATGCCCCACCCAAACAGGTTTCCTGCCCTTGTCGTAACTGAATCCTAACTTGTAGCTGCTAAAGATAATAAATATGTTGCTTGTTAAGAAACATCATTTGGCTACTATGTCTGCTCGCATGCTATTACACATACCATTACAGTTACAGCATACTATTAATACCGTTAAATGCTACATGATTAGGTTTGTGTCATTAATATAGAATGGTTGATGAAGCCTTTCAGTGAAATTATGAGAATCATGGTAATGAGGGAGAGATTGCTTCAGTTTTTGCCAGTGAGGAAAAAACATGCAGCAGAGCACTTTACCAAAAATGTAGTAAAGCCCATTTCATTCGTTAGCAAAGTAACTGGTTTCTGAAAGATAAGTCTTATTTAGGTGTTCAGATTTTGTAACTGAGTTTCAATAATGCAGATATTGATAATACAGATAGAGGCTCTGTCCACACTTGCAGTTTAGAATGGCACCATCTTATTTGATTTATATCCTACCTTTATTTTTGTACAACTCCAGGTGGCATATCTAATACTCCCACCTCCTATTTTCCCCACAACAACCCTGTGAGGTGGGCTCAGCTGAGTCTCAGTGACTGGCCCAAAGGGAAGACTAGAACTCACAGTCTCCGTTTCTAGTT